TTCAATGCTCAATGATTTTATTGAAAATCATTTAGATGAGTCCGTAGAGGAGCTTAGAATATTTTGTGATTCTTGCAGTGGACAAAATAAGAATTTTACCATGTTTCGATACCTACACTACATTACCACCGTCAAACACAGATTTAAGAGTGATACTGTAACATTCCCTGTAAGAGGACACTCTTACATGGAACCGGATAAAGATATGGGTTTAATACCACGGCATACAGGAGCTGAGACGCCAGACGATCTCCGAGATGTTATTTACTCAGCGAGGTTAAAACCTTCACCATTTGAGGTTGTGGCTTTCGGTCGAGAAAACTTCAAAAAATGGGGTGACTCACTTTCATGCTTGTTTCATGCTTGAACAAGAAGAAGTTCTCGGCTCCCACACGACCCATTAAGGAAGTAAGATTTACTCAGACGAAAGTTAGGACGATGGAACATCGTGACACCTATAATGGTGCATATACGTCAACAGAAATTAAATGTTCATCCATCAAGAGGAAAACCCCAAAAGTTACGTCTGTGCAAGGACCAAGTTCATCTAAATTAGGTGATGCCGTAGCAAACAATAATACAGTTCTCCCTCACCTTGTGTTGAGTCATCCGGAGCCTATACCACTATCCAAGGAAAAGTACAACGACCTGCAAGTTTTAAGGCGATTCTGTAGACAAGAGGCCCAAGATTTCTTTGACAGTCTACCCCATCCTTTAGACGGAGCAGATGCTGTTCACAACAGTGATGATGGTGACTACGTATAAGCTGATTTCAGTAAGTCAAATTTACTAACTTATATTTGTAGTAAAAAAATATAAATCTTTTTTATAGCAATAATATTGTTAGATGTTAGATAATATTAGATATTATCTGATAAAAGTTGGATTTTTCAGGATAATTTGACGGAGCTGAGCCATCTTCCCCGTACATCTCAGCTAACTTTTTAATCTTACATTATATACGATCCTTACAGCTATCTTACTATATAAAAAGAGTATATACTTTGTTTCAATATTATTATATCAATTTTTATTAAAATGTATACTTATTCACAAGCTTTTGTTGTCTTTTGCTATTTTTTTTAATCTCATATAGCTAAAATGAGATGTTTATCTAACAGAGTATTATGCTTCTCTTATGTTTATTCTATTAAAATTCTTCACAGTGTAAAGTTTCAGTTTGTTTCATGTTTATAATGCAATAAAAACACACATCAAATACGTTTTTTATAGATTTTTATCATTTTCCCCCTAAGTACAGGGGAAAAACGATTAGAGTCCATGCAAGGGTAAAAAAATAAAAAAATTACCATTTATAAAATATATAATATTTTTAAAATCTGTAAATAAATAAAGAACTAAGCGAATAATAAATTGAAAAATAAATAATTGTTTATCAATTAAAGGTTTTTTTACTGTGTGTCTTGAAACTTTAAAAAGTCTCTGGTGTAAAATTTGGGTTTTGTGACTGTGTTCGTTTTTCCCCTGACCCATTCAAGTGTTACATTATTTAACAAAATAAAAAACATAAAAATATTTTCCAACAAAAAAACAAAAATACTGTTTCAAAATTAAAGTTAAATTTTCTTTTGTATTTAAACTATGCTAATTAAAATCAGTCTTTTATTTCTTTTTACAAAACCTCTTGTTAACATTGGTAACAAAACATTTTTAAAACAACACATGAGTATTCAAAACTCAAAAAAATCACGAAACTATCACAGAAGAAATAAAACAACTTAATCTACAATGGTAACTTTTAGTCCTTTTTCCTCATCTTTCCCAAAGTGGAAATATCCAGACCAGGATAGTAGGAGTCAAAATTCTCACTTTTCCTTTTGTTCATTCTCACATAGGAATTTCATTAACCCCGTCCGAGAGAAAAACTCTTTTCCTTTACGTATTGGTTCCCCTTCTTTTTGGGTCCGGTCGTTGCGGCTTAACTTGGGGGTCTTCCATATTTGTAGTCGCAGAGTTTTGGCTTCGACTTCCATCGGTTTTACGTTGGTATCTGACGTGCTTCCAAGTGAATGAAGCATTTATGTTCCTTCTTCAAAGGGCTAAGCTTCATTTTAGCCAGACTTTCAAGGACGGATTCAGTTTCGGTTTTGGTAGGTACAACCATCACTGTAGAATGTGACATGATTGTAGGCGTTTTTATCAATTAGTTTTGTAATGAAATCGTACAGAATGCTTGCGAATTCATCAGCATTCAAACCCTTTCTGACTCCTCCCAAAGGTAGCAGTATCCATTCAAAGTGGTAATATTGAAGATTGTGAAATTGTACACCTTCAACTTGGTCCGGTAGTGCAAGGATGATGCTTTTAAGTCTGGCTGAGCAACACGGCTTGCATATCCATTGTAAATACAACAGTTTTGCTGTCGGAGTTGTCAGCATGGTCTTTGTCCTTATCTTTTTCTCTTCTTGCCCTTTCTTTATCGTCAACATGAGCTTTGTATGTTTTTTTGCACAAATTACCCACACGAAAAGCATAACAAACATCACATTGGTCTTTTTTTGGTTGAAATAAGCTCAAATTACACTCATAAAAGATTTCACAGAATAGGCAAATTGATGCTTTCTGGTTTTCTTTGTCTTGCGAATGGCAAAAGCTTTCATATAACCGGTACAATTCGGCTTTAGATTGCCACTTTGGCTCCAAGTACAACTTGGAATTGTCTTTTCGACAGTAGTGGGATTCGAGTTTTGGCAATGATTCAAAAAATGATTTCACTAAAATCTTTTTAGCTCTATCGGTTTTACTCTTCCTTGTGTTGATCGGGTCTTGCTCTTTGTCCATTACTTCATCTTCATTATTATTACTAAGACATTGTTCAATACTGCTTTTTACCCAGTTTAAAACAGCCCATTCCCCCACGGAGAGAGTATAGAGGAATATCTTTTTACAAACTCTCACTTTGCCCTTCATATTATTGGTATCCAGATAATAGAACAAAGACTGTTTTCTCTTAAATTTAGCCTTATCATCTTTTCTTCGTAACACAGATTTTCTTTGAATTAAACCTTGTTCAAAAATTTTCTTTTCTCCACGCGTTAAGGTCCAAAACATTTCAAAGATTGGTATTCTTTCTTCGTCAGAAATCGTACTACAACTAAATTGTGTCTTGGAAGTGTCTTTACACAAACAACGAGCTTTGATTTGTTTACCCCCTTTATTACATCAAATACAGTTTTTCCATCTTCATTTTTCCTTCTACCAAAATACTCTTCCCCCTTTCACCTTTAACTTTGGTTCTTCCGTTGTTCCCAATTATCTTTCAATACCCTTCCTCGTCGACTTCTTCTTCTTTTTGGGTCTATTTCTTTACATTGATTTAAGATGCTAATAAAGGTTATAAAGGTGTTAATAACTTGTAATAAAAGATATAGTCAACAGTAAAAAGATCACTAGATCAGACTTAAGTAGCAATTAATCTACCTTCCATTGAACGACTGTCTGCCGAGTTAGGTGCAGTTTCGGATTCAGTAGCCTACGCCATCTTCAAATGGTCCCCTACAAAACAGAAGAGTTATCAGTGAGCAACATATTGGTTAAAAATCCTTACTGAAAGTTTTATACCACAATTTATATCAGAATAGGCTGGATAAATTACATTTTGTTGAGTCATAGGTTTAGTTTAGTTTATTAAGACAGTGTCAAGTGTGCTGAATTTGAAGTGAGAGATGAGTGTATATATGTAGGTAGAATGGTGGCGCGATATTGTAGCTATGTCACTGATTAATACCAGCTGAGCCTTTTGCCAGGATTTCAGTTTCATAACCCCTAAAAATCTATTAACTATAATATTAACTATAACCCCTAAATATCTATTATCATAATATCACGAAACTTAAACAGACCTAGAACTATGAGTAAAATAATATCACCTTTCATTGAAACTGTGTCAACTGGGATGGGTTTAGGTCCATCACAATTCTTTGCGTGCACATTGTCTATTTTCCCCTGAAGGGCAAGCATAACCAGAATGTCTCCTCTAGTAGACATCGCAGATTATTTTCTGGAACAAAAATACAGGTTAAAACGTACAGCCCCAAGATTTTCGTAATGTTAAGTTGTTTATTTTTTACACTCCGTATAGTCTACTGGTAGGACTTATTATTTTTTATGTAAAAAAAAACGTATAATTATAACTTTCACTCGAGCTGCACATTATTTTTTTTCCTACAGTTACCATAAAACAAATAAATTGGTTGCAACCTCAGGGTTTAACCCTTTGCACTCGAATGTCCACACTCAGTGGACAGTATGGAGTCTGCGTCAGCTGGGAATTATTTTCTGATGCTCAGCGCCCGGAGCTCGCATGTCCACTCTCAGTGGCCGCACTAGATTTTGTCGCTAGCTCGGCAGCCATTTTTGGTCATCCACTTCTGCCAGCTGGGAATTATTTTCTTCACTCTAGACTGAAATGTCAAATTGATGTTTACATGAATGGTCTAAGAAGGAAAACTCGTCGCATACTTTGAAACTTATTTATTTACCATCAAAAATTACATAATTTACTTATTGTTAATTGTACTTATGAAACTTTTAAGAAATAATAAAAAAAAACTGCTTATAACATAAATAGAACAAGATCAAAAAGGTTGGCAAAATATTACACATACAAACAGAAACAACTTTTTTAAATGGGTTAGGCCTAGGGCATTCTTTTTCTAACACATATAAGTAAGTCCATTTTATATTTAGAATACATTATGAGAAAAAGGGAAATATTTTAATTAAATATTTAAGTCGTAAACTTAGTAAAGCTATACTGACAAAAGTTAAGCGGATAGTGAGTGATACTCCTTTTTAACTGCACGGGGTAACCGGAACAACAATGACTATTGATAAAACAACGTATGAAATTCACAATAAATGTTATTCTAATAACCCCATATTTCTAATATAATGTTCCACTAGAACAATTAAAAAAATATTGTAGGCCTACTAAATTCAACAATAATTACAAATCCTAAATACATCTTTAGAATGTATTAGTTTTTTACCTTCTTGTCGGTATGGTACCTTTCAAAACATTGACCAATACACAGTCCAGGTTCTTTCTCACACGTTTTGCAGAAGTATCGTGTTCGTTTTCTTGTTCCAGCAGCACTTCTGTCACTGCAAACACAACAGTCCTTCGCTGCCTTGCCCGGTCCGATGGGATAGAGAAGGTGTAGTTTCCCATTCAATCTTTCGTCTTCGTCCATGTTAGATGGTCTTCCCCTTTTCTTTACATTCCTCACATTCCCCACCAGTTCTTTGATTAACTCCTTCCTGAACTTTCGTTGTCTCATTTTCCCTTGGCACTTATCCATATTGTAAAGTAAATAAGCGTTGACAATTGCAGTTTCGAGTAACCAAAAGAATACTTTCCTCCACCACTTGATTGATTTCCTCGTAAAACTGTAAGATGATATGTATTGATCGGCTATGTCGACTCCACCCATCGACTGGTTGTATTCACACACAACTCTTGGCTTCTTGATTTCTTCTATTTTACCTCTCTTTTTTACTCTTCTTATTGTCTCAACACTAGTATCGTAAAGCGAGCTCAGCATTACCACTAAATTAGTGTCCCTCCAAAGTAGAAGATTGTATTTATCATCTTTGCGGAAAGCTTTGATATCGCCTCTCTTTAACTCCAACTTTGGCACTTCTTTCTTTTGTTTTTGATTCTTCTTTCCTTTTCTTGCATTCTTAGATTTACTCTTCCTTTTTGGTCTGACTTGCTCCGGCAATCCCTTCCTTTGCCTCATAATGGTACCTGTTATATGCACTTTCATTTCATATAAAGCTTCAGCTAAGTCAACGTTTGTATAAAATCTATCGGTAAACACGTGCAAACCTTCACTGCCATAATCATATCTGAGCTTATTCACCAAATGCAAAACTACTCGACTGGTGACACCCAGATCTTGCCGTTCCATTCGGTCTGTGGTGGACTTTCCAAAATAGGGCTCTAGTGCACAAATGTAACCTGAGCTTGACTCTGAAAGGACAAAAACCTTTATCCCCCACTTGGTAGGTTTGTCTTTATTGTAAACTTTGAAGAGTATTTTCCCCTTATATCCGATCGTGCTCTCGTCTACGCTGACCTTATTTTTCGGCACATAGTATTCCCTAAACTCTTTGTCCAAGTACAAAACTACATTTCGAACTTTACCGAAGCGTGTCAAAGTGCCAAGTCGTGGCCCGTTTGGCGGAGGACTGAGGTGTAGATTCCAAAATATTTGAAGGAATCTTTCTCTAGAAAAAAAGTCTTTAAAAAAAGGTTGATAATCCACCCAATCCGTAGAAAAGTAGTCGTCAATTTCAGGCTTAGCGTTCATTCCCATGTTTATAATGACACCAATAAACGCCTTCATTTCATCTAATGTCACATCTTTCCAAGACCACCACATTGACCTTTTCTGTAAAGGCATACTTTCTTTAATCTTTTCATTTGCATACCTATTGGTTTCGTCTACAGTTTCAGTAAGTAACTCATCTGTAAAAAAAAGCTGGAAGAAACCTAAGGGTGTTTCTGGTTCGTCTCCTGGAGGTGGTTTATATCCACTTTCGTTCCGATAAATAAATTCATTAAATGGAACATCACTCTCAACCCAATCCCTCCACAATACTTAATTTTCTTGGTTTCACCTTCGTTTTCAACTGGTACTACGTCAGTTGGCTCTCCTAAACTGCCATTATCCTCAACTAACTGATCGTTTTGTTCTAGAGAAATATTCTCATTTTCATCATCCATTATATTAGTGCTGTTTAAGTATTCTCTATACAGTTCATCTATTATTTCATCTTCATTCACTGGGTCATTTTCAAAATTATCTGTCTCTGAACGAAGCTCACTTACCACATCTTGTTCAAACTGTTCTCCTATGTTCGAGTCGATGTCACTTTCATGGTCCGAATCACTGCCACACTCACTTTCCCCTTCAAGCGCATTACGAATTTCGTCGGAATTTAATGTTGTTTCCATATTAAAAAATAAGAAAACTTGGAAAATTACGTATAATAATAATTATCAGGCATATAAGCCGAAGACTACACAGCATAAGACAAAGCGCTAAACTAACCGTTGTTGTTTACTGTTTACATTAGAAAGCAACAGCCAAAATTTGAGCCCGTTGCATTCTGGGATTAGTCTAGTTTTGAAATCCACCGTCAGATTTCAGCACAGTACAGTAGAAAGAATATTAAATGTTGTAAAAGTATGCATTGTCACTGTCCACACACAGTGGACATGCGAGCGTTCACGATCGCATGCGCCATTTAACTCTGTCCACTGAGTGTGGACATGTGAGCGCTGAGGATAAGTGTGACAAAAAAAATCCTAGCTGGTGGCAAAATGACTGTGGCCACAGAGTGTGGACAGACGACCCCAGGGGACCCTTTCTAAAGGACCTATCTGAGCGCAAAGGGTTGCCACGATAAAAGTTGACTAGGACCAAGTTGACTTGTACAAGTAGACTTGGTCCAAGTTTAAAATCAACTGAGTTGACACTGAATCCAACTTGGATACTAGTAGATGCTATTAAAATGGCGGATTTAGTGTTGGAAGGGATTGATGCTGTTGCAGAAATGCTTATGATTGAGTTGAATGAGTACAAAAATCGTGTTAAAAGACGTAAAAGAAAAATTTGGACAAGAGATTGGATTTTGAGACGTAGTTTACAGGGTGCATCTGAGAATTTTCTTAGAGAAGTGGAATTTGTAGACCATGATACGTATAAGAACCACCTAAGATTGACAACGTTACAATTCGAACAACTTTTAGAGTTTATAAGCACAAAGATTAAAAAACAAAATACAACTATGAGAGCTGCCTTGCCAGCGCGTATAACATTGCGTTATTTAGCAACGGGAGACTGTTTCAGGACATTGGAGTGCTTATACAGAGTTTAAAGAGTACCATATCTAAATTTATTCCAACAGTTTTGGATGCAATTTATGAAGCACTTGAAGAATTCATACAGGTAAGATATAATAATAATCAAATCAATAATATATTGAACAAAATGCTACAGTAACTTGTTTATTTTATAACATTGTTAATTTATAACAACACAAATAGCAAGGTATTATGTAAATTTCTTTCCAACTTAAATTTAATATATATCTTGCATTGCGGTTTCCAAAATGTTAGGTGACAATTCTTCATTATGGAATACCAATTCAACTATCTGGTTTGAACTTTCATTATTCACCAGATTTTGCATTCGTCTGTTCTGGATCATAGTCATGATTTCAGACTGGCATTCTAATACCTGGTTTAGTGGCAGCTGTCGTAGCTGGCACGCTATATTTTGGCCAAAAAAGGTAAATTCATCCTGAGGTTCCCTCTTATTTACTTCTTCTTTCAGAGCCTTCAAAGTTCCCATGGTTCTCTCAATGTGAGCAGGTATATTTGATGCTTTCATTTTCTTGCCCTTTTTAGAAGAAGTAGGTGAAAGATGTATTTTCAATGTGCTAGTACTTGATATCGACCGCTGGGCTGTTTCCGTTGTGTCATCAATCAATGTGACTTCACTTGGCTGGTCGAGCTCATTTTCATCATCAAGAACATCGATGTCTCTATTATCGTTAAAATTAGTATGCCTATTTTTGTATTTTCTGATGACGTGCTAGGTTTCACCAATGTTTCCTTGTCCTGCGGTCGACTATTATCATTGCAATCAATAATTGTTTCCTGAAATAGAACAGTGAAATGAACACACTATCTGAATAGAGGTTTTTAAAAAATTTGTAATTAATTGTAATAAATAATAAAATATACCTATAATTTTGTAGGTTCCCAAAACAAAAGAAGAGTGGGAGGCAGTTGAAAAGGGATTTCAAAATGAATGGGATTTCCCAGGATGTTATGGTGCATTGGATGGAAAACATGTAAATATATAACAGCCATCACATTCAAGAAGTGAATACTTTAATTATAAATCTCACTTCAGCACAGTTCTCTTGGTACTTGTTGATAGCAAGTATTGTTTTACCTTCATAGATGTAGGTTGGCAAGGCAGAGTAGATTACAGAAATATTTTTAACGACAGTTCCCTCAAAGTTATTTTGGAGAAGAAAATGCTAGGGTTTCCTGCTCATGGAGTGATTGTCGGTGATGAAGGATTCCCATTAAAAGATTATTTAATGAAGCCATTTTCTCGTCGTTTAAAACTCACGCACGGCGAGAAAATCTTCAACTACAGGTTGTCCCGTGCAAGAAGAGTATCTGAAAATTCATTTGGAATTATGGCAATGAAGTTCCGAATTTTCAGAACTGCAATCTACTTATGCCCAGAAAAAGTCGACAAAATAGTGAAAAGTACATGTGCCCTTCACAACTGGCTAATAAAGACATCTCCAAGCCTGTATATGCCTACCGGAACTGCAGACATTGAGGGTGAAGATGGAGTAATAAGGTCTGGGTCTTGGAGGCTGGATCTACAAGAAAGTCGTTTAGCAAGATTACCTACTCAACAAGGGAGTAATAGATACTTAGCTTATGCTGAGCGCCGTCGACAAAAATATGCACAGTACTTTTTAAGAGATGGAGCTGTTTATTGGCAAAATGAAATGATAATTTAATCAAAGTTGGATATCTATATGTATATGTTAGTACATATAAATATATGTACCTAAATTTATATTTACGGCAATCATAACTATTAGCGAATTTCCCATATAGGGAATAAGCTATTACCGTAGTACTTACGGTAAGACCTGGACCCGGGACCGATTTTTTTTTCGTTTTGAGGTCCCTAGAGGCCAAAAACACCATCCGTTCAAATTCATATATATATATATATAGTTATGAAAACAATCTAATTCTGACCCGAAAACAATCTAATTCTGACCCTTCATACAATTCTGACCCCGGTGGGTCAGGATTGTATTGGTTTTATACAAACAAACACCAGGCGGGTCAGAATTGTATTAAATCTATATTCAGCGGGTGGCTGAGAAAGTAATTTGCAACCCCCCCCCCTAAACTTTTAACTATTTGAGATATTTGTAATTAGTACAGGTAAAACTCACCTAAGAAAACATAAAAATTAGTCCATTCATGAAACTTGCAGGAAACGTAGTAATTATCATTAGGTTTTAAAATCTGAAGAGTCCCTAGTGATTGTGGGGGTGGAAGTACCATTTTATGGGGGTTTAAGTTTATGGGGGTAGTGATTTTGAGAAAATTGTTATTTATGGGATCCAAGCAAGTGAGGTGTCGTTTTCTATGTTTCTTAGGATGCAGAATCGAAAAAGAACATAATAAAAGCAATACAACCGACGGTTTATTAGAAAAAGACTAATTTATTAATGAAAAACTAAATATGACAAATTAATTAAGGTAAAATAACCCAGTTAATATCAATTATTACAAAACTGACCATGAGTCTGTGTCACATGTTAAAGTTGTGAGGAAAATTAACCACCATTAATTAAGCACTTGTAGTGCTTGAATACGATATATAATCCCAGTTTGTCAACGGTCGAGTTTGATTAGGTCATTTCAAAATGGCGGCCGTTAATCACTAAAATAATTAAAAATTGTTTAGTGTTTTGTTTTATCAACTCTCTCCAGAAATCTGCAGCAATCTTTAATTTTCCTTGCAATCATAGGTCGTGATGCCTTCTCTCTATTTCCTGGAATAGGCAAAATACCCCCAGTGCAGCAAACCTGCAGATTAGTGAGGTTCCATTTGCCTGATTTTATTTTCAATTAAATATATTTTAATTGAGTTTAATTAGTACCTAGGTTTGCTGCTACGGAGAAAATAATAAAGTGTGTTTTTTTTATTAAAATATTAATAGCCAAGGTCAAAATAAATAAATTTGCCAAGTTTTATCAAAATATAACCTTAAACGAGCAAAATACAACAGTTTTCTTATTCTCCATAAGAATAAAATGAGAATAATAAATTTACAATTTTTGAATTTTCTCGGTAGGTAACCAATATTCGTACAAAAACACTTTAATAAACAAAATTATTGGTTTTTAAGGTATTTATAATCATCATTATATCCAAAATTGTTTAGAGAGATATTGGAAAATTTTATGTGTAGAGGGTTAATCATGACAAAACCCAATTTTGACCCCATAAATCCCCCCAAAAACCCCGTTCCCATGGTCTGATCATGCTGGATTGCGAACTCGTTCAAATCAATCTAAAGATGTTTTGTACTTTTCTATATGACAAAACATAAAACTTTAACAGCGTTAATGATTGTAGACGTGTCCTTTTTAAAGAACGTTAGCACGATAACTCAAGCAAAAATGACCCAATGTTGACGAAATTTGGTAAAAACGTGTAAACCTACGTTTACTCGAACGAGTTTGCGAACCAGCATGATCGAACCATGAGAACAGGGTTTTCTGGGGGATTTATGGGGTAGAAATTGGGTTTTCTCATGTTTGCCCCTCTAAACGTAAAAT